CTTTAATTTAAAAATAAGATTAATGGTGTTCGATAAATGAATTAAGATAAAAACGATAGTATTAAACAATCAGTACAATGAATTTTGTTCTTTTGTATTTAAAGTAATGTTAGATTTTCTTAAAATGTTTGTAGGCATCATTACATAATAGTCACTTGACACGAGTTATTTTCATCCCAATTTACGCATTTTTTATTTTTAATATAACGTTGATAGTGTTGACATTTAACCCTCCCTTCAAACCTAAAAAGTGACTGGGACTAGGATCAGTGAAGTGTATTATTTGGTTATACTTATCATCTTATCAGTTAATCTAAATTCTAGTTATGCGTTAGTTTGGGATTTTATTTTATAAGCTAAATATTTCGATACGTGATTACAATACTTTAGACTAGTATCATCATCTTAATTAAATATTGATGTAAGTGAGTAAAATTACGTTGAATTTCTCAAAAATTAAATTATGTCAAGCGAACATACTATTGTTCGAAGGTTTTGGAAGCTCTTCAACTGGAGAATTTAATTTTTCATCGTTTTCGCTAAGTATTCTAGCAAATCTGGAAAGTGATCGAATCGTATTTATATTGGCAAAGTAATTAATTTGAAATCTAGCTCTATGTTTTAGGATTTTGTTTTATTTTCTATGCTTTTCGATGTGTGATAAGAATTCCTTGGATTAGTATCATCACCTTCACTTGTAGAATGTTGATTTAAGTCAGTGAAGTTATTTTGAATTTTCTTAAATCAAACTCTGCCAAGAGAATATACTATTGGATTGTCATTACTGTTCGAAGATTTTTGGGGCTCAGTCACTGGAGAATTCAGTTCTTCCTCGTGTTCATTAAATATTTTTGCAAATCTGGAAAGTGATCAAATTGTATTTATTGGAAAAGTAATTAATTTGAAACCTAGTTCTGTACTTTAGGATTTTGTTTTATTTGCTATGCTTTTCGATGTGTGATAAGAATTCCTTGGATTAGTATCATCACCTTCACTTGTTGAATGTTGATTTAAATCAGTAAAGTTACTTTGAATTTTCTTAAANATCAAACTCTGCCAAGAGAATATACTATTGGATTGTCATTACTGTTCGAAGGTTTTTGGGGCTCAGCCACTGGAGAATTCAGTTCTTCCACGTTTTCATTAAATATTCTTGCAAATCTGGCAAGTGATCGTGTAGTATTTACTGGCAAAGTTTCAACTAATTTGAATCCCAGTTCTGTGTTACTTTGGGATATTGTTTTATCTGCTATGCTTTTCGATGTGTGATAAGAATACCTTGGACTAACATCATAACCTTCGTTTGCTGAATATTGATTCATGTCAGTAAAGTTGGGTAAAGAAACACTCAAGTCTGATTCACTTTGATCTATAGATTGAGACTCCCGGTTACGAGCTATGTTCATATTGTAAGCTATGTTCATATTGTAAGGTGGACGTAAAGAATTTTTTTTCGAAATTATTTTTGGGTCTTTCTTTTTTCTCATAAAGCAACAACAAATTATTATGTTGATCAATATAAACAACAGTAAAATTCCTCCTGCTGAAGACAAAATTATAATGAATTTTGTATCTGACAAAATCTCCTTCCAAGATCTGTCCGTCTTTGTATCGGGCGTTGAACTTATTAAAAATACTGTTGAACTATGCATATCTTCCGTGGATGTGACATTCACATCATCTGTAACGCTTTCATTATTCGTAACAGTTACTCCAGTACTTACTTCTGGGATAATTACTTTAGTCCCTTTCATAAAGACTTGAACAGTATTTGAAATTTTTGCCCTGTTACCACTGGCATCTTTTGCTCTCAGAGCTACGTAGTAAATAGCATCGTCATCGTTTCTTGGAAATTTAAATTTAAATATTTCTTTTCCCCCGCTGTACTGGGGAGTTTGTGTCGTTTTTAAAGTCACGGTTTCTTCTGAATCGAAATACATATCCATTAGATTAGCTGGATGATTTGTTGCCTTAATTTCATATGCCG